TATATATATATATATATATATATATATATATATATATATATATATATATATGTCACCTGTCTGACACTCACACTTAGCCACGTGATCCGTTATCAGTCTCGCCAAACTCGCTGCCTGATTTGAACCAGCCCATATCCGACTTCTTTCTGCTTTGTCAGACTTTCACTTTCTTTACAAATCATATCCAGTGTAAGTGACAAAACCTTTTCGTTTCCGATCGTTTCATTTGGATCAAAACACTTCCCAGTAGAACATTGTTCAAATTTTCACAATTTTAAATGCTCATGACCGAAGAACTATCGATCCACTGTTGTAGTTCTGTTTCCATCGGTGAACATTTGATGGACACATTAAAATTTTGTGTCGTCCTGAATATTCCTTGCTCTTCTTCAGAGGTGACCCCTGAAAAATGACCCCGATGGACAATACTAAACACAGCGTGTATTGACTCACATTGCATCCGTTCGACCAATCTGCACGGGGAGAACGGATTAGTGTTTCACACTTTCAGGACCAGATACGGTAGAGAGATCGTTACTGCCCCCGTTGACCCATACTACAATAAAGTCAACCTCATCAGTTCAAACGAAACAACCAATGTGAAGTGTTTGTGAAAACGTAAAAAAAACAATATGGCTAATACTAATGATATAACTCTACCTGTATCTCCGACTAATCGGAAGCAGCAAGATACTTCACAACACCGAATGACTTGACTCTGTGAGATTGAAAACGAGGAGTGCTCTGTGAACTGCAAATATTTGGCCAAATGCAGTCATAGATAATCAATCCATAGGTAATATGAAAGAATCAGAGATAAAACTAGAGCTAACAAAGGTTAAATTGCCTGATTGCGTTGAGTATGATTACCGGTTAGTGGATACATGGAACTTCAAACCGGCAGCAACACGGTAGCATGGCGATGCGAATTGAACAGTTCTAATCATCTCTCATCCCACCCGGAACTTGAGAACCCTAACTGGAGGCATAAAACAGTTTTAGGGGATTGATAATTTGATGTACTATCCGATCAGGATATAACCCAGTTTTGTGCGACATGTATGTGCATTGTTCACCCGGATGTAAAACCCACACTTAAGTATACTGTGAAAACATTCCTGTTTACAATCTACTTGATTTTGCTGTTGTGATCTTAATGACTGAAATTTTTGAACCTTTGAACCGTCTAAACTATCTGGACTACCGAAATATCATTTGACATTTGAATAAATCACAGACTGGTGAGTGCTTATCAACTTTAATTAAAGCGTAGCAAGTCATCGATTCAGTTGTAAACTTCTCGTCGGTTGATATCTCTGAGTCCAAGTAATAGTGATTGTTATTCATTTAGCCATTCATTACCAAACTTGTGAGAAACGCATAATTGTGTACCTATTGCTACTATTCAATGTGAATTTAACCAAGTTCACCCAGGTCGCATGTAGCAGTAAAATGTAGTCCACCAGGTCCGAGTGAAATGACCGCACTACATCATTGTCTTTGAGGACAGTTGAGAAGAAACAGTTTGAAATTTAAAAAAAATAAACAATACAATTTCCACACAGTTCCGGGTTTAGTTGAGTGAAAAATAGTAGAATTTTACTGACATTCTGTATATGGTGATAACGGTAAGAGGAGAACGCAGTCGACCAAACGGAAATCCCTAGAGAATGAAAGTAATAATACGCATTGGGAGAGAGATGGACAGAGGAAAATAGTCAGTAGCTATTTGGTCTGACTTGGTGGCGGTGTTGATCACTTGGTTAAACACAGAACAAATTGGAAAATCCACGGTGACATTGGAAGACATATTGGATAAGGATCTATTGTTTTTGGTTTGAGTTTATTTTTCTCTGATCAGTAATACTGTCTGAGTGAAATTTGTTTTACAATGATTCGTCCCTTTTTCGAGAAATGTTTACTGACTGTTCACCTAAAAACAATGCATCGGTCGAAATGAAATAAAAGTATGAAGAACTTCATGTTAGGAACGGAGCAGTTGATGAAATAACTCTCGTTCAGTTTATCAAACCCCAAAACTCATTCTGTCACGAAATTTATCAGCAATTACTTTTCTCACCGTCGTTTAAAATACTTGTTAAAATGTTGCAGGTACGACTGTTTGAAGCATTTTTCTCAATAGCAATTGCGAAGTCGTTGGCAAAGTTGCGCGTGAAATGTTTGCATGTTCAAATGGCTTGACGAGAATTGAATCATTCACTGTATGAAAGTTATTATTCAATACTCCATATGTTACATAACGAACTTCTGGAAGTGTATTCGTCCTTCTATTATTCACATTTCATGCCAACAAAAACCGCTTTTGGGTTTTATTCTCCACTCTCTACGGTTTCTCAACGCGTGTGAGCTAAGTAATTGTGCATGCCTCGAAAGCGTTCCATGGAAAATATCACTTCACATCACTCACTGAGCTCAAAAGTTCATCACACAGATATGATTTAAAAGAGCTGTATATATCCATTGCGCTTTGGAGCTGAAATTCATTACGGAATTGAGTCTTTTACCAGTATTTGACTTGGTATCATTTCTGCTATTATAAATTCATAACCTTGAACTGCTTCTGGAATGCCCATCGCATATTACTGTGCAATGAAAGTGCCATTCGGAGGTTACCTATTTGTAAGACCACATTTTTTGCTAAATGTGTTTAACGGGTACCTCCCCATTCATCATAGAAAGTGATGAAGTGACTACTTAAAACAACCGATTTGACCTTTTCAAAGAGATCGGTTAGCTTTTCCACTTCTCGCCATAACGAGTCGCATGTTTGCAACTGTGAGTGTCTCGTTGTAGATTTCCGTAGTACGACGATATTTTTGGGGGAAGAAAACTGAAAAAATGTGAGAGGATGAAAATCACCAACTACGGATAGATGAAGGAGAAAACAGAGATACAGTTTGATCTATCCTAGGATTGTCTAACAGAACAGCGGCGCCATCAGTTTTAGATACCGAAAGCAACCACTTCAACTAACTCACATTCGCCCTAAATGTTCCTTCTTAATTCGTTGATCAAAAGGGGACGGAGTGTGTGGGTGATGGTCGTTCTGGAAAACGGAGAGAAACCATCGATAGCAGTAGCAAACGATTGCTGACCTTTGCGCAATGCCATTAAACAGGGGCTTTATTTCATCTGTTGTTTTGAGTATCACAAGTCGTCTGCTAATGAGGTCGAAATACGAGAAAGTAAACCATGATTTTAACCATTTATTTAACATTGCAGTCACCTCGTTGGGAAGTGAACAAAACCGTTTCAAATGTAACAGCTCTGTGGGAAACAGGATGGAACTAAGGAATTATTTATATTATTATCAACGGAAAATTACAAGTGCTAGGGAATTAGGATTTTCATATTTAAGCACATATGCAATGCTTTCCCATGGTTATCTGAGGTTTATTTACTATTGTGGGTTAACTTTCTCCTCGAAACTCAATAGAAATTGTTGTGTTCTGTTTTTCCACAATTCTTTTGACTTCGATTCACCGTAATTTGAATAGGAATATGAACAGAAACTATGCAATACGTAAGTTTCAATATCAAGTCGCGTTTTCTGGGACCAATTTCATTTTCTACCATTTCAAGAACGGTTAAACTACTGAACCATAATGCCAAGGGAATCTCAAAAGTAGAAATGCGAATCATACGTTTCTTTTTCCGCGGCATCTTGTTCCCAAAATAAGAATACTGGAATTAATTAAAACATTCTACTGTTGTTTTTATAATTATCAAGTTCTACTCAAAGTAAGACCTATTTTTATTAACGCTTATTTCAATTGATAGGTTATTTCCACAAGTTCTGCAATAATTTGAGCCCTATGTTTCAAACACTTCTGTTGCTTTCGCAGTATTGTCTATTCTCTGTTCTGGTCCCCTCATCTATTGCGTTTGGCATTCAGATTTTATGTGATGAACGAATTCTCGGAGCAATGCTCATTCACGGCCGATGCACGCAGTCCGGTCCGTTACAATTGTTACGGGACAAAGTGAGTTCCAACTCATCTGAACTGCCCCCAGGCAACATCTTCACCCCCCCCCTCCCATTGTATCGAACGTATTAGAACAGCTTGTTGATTTCCGGTGAAAAAGATTGAATCGCCTGTTCAGTGAAAAAACATTTTTCTGACAACTTGTTCAATATCGTACCGGGATCGGGTAGAATTAATTACCCGAGAGTACGGACCGTTATTCATAATCGCATATCACGATCACACTGTAACCGGGACAGGTGATTAACAATGTCCTGTCATTTGAAACACGCGTCGACTAGGTATCGATCGGGCATTGAACATTCAAATACACATATATCATCGACAGTGTCAAAGAAAGATTACCAGTTAACTACACGGAACGTCCACCATCTATACTGTGAAAAATTTCATCACAGCACGTAGAAAAGAAGGACACATGGAAGGAAGAAGAAAAGTTATATGCACGTAACAGATATTAGAAATAATCGGACTGTTACCCAGAATTGTTAGGAGAATTTGATGCTGAACTAACGATATTCAAGCAGTGCTGACAATTTCATCATACTGCATGTTTGTTGTTATGGCATATAGTCCCCGTATGCACACATTGACCTAAAGTTATATGTATATTTACGAGTCATAAGTTGAACATGAATTAAAACAGCAAACAGAATTGAAACAATATATTGCAATCGGTTAGTACAGATAAAAAACCTGAGACACAATCAAAGCATTGTAATTGATTCATTATTGTAAAATAATGAACGGTATAGAATTGTGCAGTTAATTTTGGGGAACGAGATAGGAGGTCACAAAGAGATACGAATAAACTGGAGAACTGAGATTACACTACCGTTTGGACTGGAACACTTGACATCACGGCTATATTGATGGCCAACGTCCATTGGTTCATCAGTAGTGCATCTTCGTTTGATCTGAGAAAAATCCCCTTTCACTTTCGACGTGTCAATGAGCGTTACGTCTGCCACATTTGGAACATTGAATACGTTTGGTACTATCAAATGTGAAACAGATGGATTTGTTTTCTTTTGAATCAAAATACCGTGGGCTAATTATTTTTAAGTACCAGTCATCACATAGTTCACTCAAACGCGTACAATACCGCTTTCGTATGAAGTCATCGCCAAGCATACTAACACTGCTAGAGACGTCGGGTGAGGGCATCCGCTAGAATTCAACTGCTTTCAATCAAGCAGATATATGCCGGTCATTATCCGCATTCCACAGATGTTGAAATACATCTTGGGTACGAATGTGAAAAAAATATCCGTCAGGAAGCATTTCTTACATTTCAGTGATCACAATGTGTGCAATATTGGGAATTGCCGAATGTTTGAATGAGCTGAATTAAATACTTTCAAGAGTCTTGACAGATACACACTCTCATTGACAAAGCACAAAATGTCATTCACATAGTGCTAGTAAAATGTGCGATGATCAACTGTTTGTCTTAGTATTATATTCTCCAGCTTTGTCATAAAGATATCAGCGAACAATGGACCCAGAGGAGATCCCATTGCTACTCCATCTATTTGACGCGATATACTTCGTCATTGAATTTCAATTGTACATTTTGTGTGCAAAAGCAGATGTAGAAGAGCTGAAATCTACTCTAATCAACACTTGCTATGAACACTTGGGGAAATAAACCGTCAACAGCCGAGTTAGTAACAGCACAACACCCTGGAATGGTTGGACAGGTTGAAGGAAAATCGAGATGTCATACTTTCGAGACCACATAAAGGCGCCAGAATAGTCCTTTTAAATCGATCAGAATATATCAACAAAATAAACAGCATACTCAGCGACACCAGAAAATTTCAAAAAATAGCCGGGGAGAAAGATTAAACAGAACAGATAGGAAATTCAATGTCGAAAACGCTCCGGTATCTCAAACAGAGGGACATAATAAACATTGTCACATTTGATCAACTTCGACCAACAGGAACGACGATCCCGAGACTTTATGGCTTACCAAAGATACAAAAAAATGGATTGCCTCTCCGACCGATTTTAGATATATGTAACTCCCCTTACCATGTCTTGGCTAAGTGGTTGATAGCGATCCTGGAACCCGTGCGAGGAAATCTCGCCAATCACACATTAAAGGATTCCTACGACTTGGTGGCTAGTATTAACGACACAAACAAAAACTAAATACGCATGTTATCACTCGACGTCAGTTCACTCTTCACTAACATTCCCATTGATGAAACTATTGAATATATATGTAAATACATACAAAGTAATAATTGCGAAGTTGGAACGCCCGTTGGTGATCTCAAACAATTACTATACTTTTGCACACAAAATGTACAATTCAAATTCAATGACGAAGTATATCGCGTCAAATAGATGGAGTAGCAATGGGATCTCCTCTGGGTCCATTGTTCGCTGATATCTTCACGGCAAAGCTGAAAAATAATTACAGAATGCTTAAACTAACCAGAATTAGCCCTCATTCCCTCCACTGTGTGCGGGATTAAAAAAATACAGTTCACGAGTTGATCGCTAATTGAAAATATAAAATAACATATTGATCACGAGGAGTGGAAAATAATTATCGTAAGCAAACTTCATTTTGAAGGGGGTTCATGATTCATTTTCTATTCCACTGGTGTGCTATGTGCAACGTTTATAAAAATTGATTGTTTAGCACCCTATGTGCTTGTGGAGGAGGAACGGGTCGTAACAAAACATCCCACATGCTTCCACGTTCAGTAATAGCCTAGCCTTGACATGTGATCTTTTCAGACAGGTGTTACACCAATCCAGTTCTAGTTTGACGATCAAACACATCGAGGGGGTGAATTCAATGAGGTTAGAATCGATTTTGTTCGACCCAATTCATTAGATTGCCGTTAAAGCGACCAGGCACTGTTCCTATTATTATTGTTGTCTTTCACTCGTAAATATTTACCTAATTTATCACATATTTGGATAATTTTATTTCCAATGGAAGTATCTTTGATGTGCCAAAAACAAACACCGAACGGCTATTTCACCGTTGTTACGACTTAAGAGAGAGATGCCGACAGGTTGTGTTTCAACCGGGACTGGAACCGTAAAAAATATTGAATGAGTTAAACCAAATAAATCGGATAAGAATAGACTGGGTAACTGGCGCAAAATGTTGATCGTCGATCAAGCAGCTCAAAGGCAAAGGATCCCACTAAACACCCCAGGGCTTCTGATTCAACGCTCGGCAAGATTACAAAATCTGTGTATTGCTGACAAAACAGATTTGGAGTGCTTTCTGTTGACTATCACAGAAGTTCCCATCACAAATGAAATGGATTCAGCATATGCGATATTATCGATTTAGTGAATAAAACCCTCAAAAAAGATCCTTCCAGGTGTTCATGTAAACAACAAAATGGGGCTAAACGAAAGAAATGAGTAACACTAAAATGAATTTCTCTTTACGTTTGGTGTTGTTTTACTGATTTCACCGTCACACACACATGTGATTCCCATTGTTACTTTAGTTTAAACAGTGAATGCTTGAATTAGGCCATTCGATCGTTCAAAGACACCAGGCACATTTGATGATTTTGTGTATGTAAGTTTCACTACTTGAAAGATCGATAAGTCCACATCACTTAGATGCATTTAAATGCAATGGAGATCTGAGTGATGACAGACACAGAGGAGCACTGAACAGCTGGTTCTTCCGGTTTGGAACTAGTCAACAGTGGGTAGTTTTTTTGTGTTTCTTTCAGGATCCGAACAACGAACCTTCGAATCCTGACAGGGACACAAAACTGACGCACTTCTGACGAGTCTCAAACAAGACTAAACATCTGTCCAATGCTCTTTGTCAATCAGTACAAAAATTCTCATCGCATTTTATTAATCTTAGTTCACCAATATAGTCAAATTAAGTTATGAAAAGCACTGACATCGTAACGAGTGAGTTCACAACAATATAATGCACAAATCATGTTGGACTCAGAAGACAATGTGCTGAAAAAAGATGAAAAATGTTCTAAACGCTGACTTAGAACGGTTAAAATGGAGACGGTTGAAAGATTGACATTCGCGATTGTTAGGTAAAATGAGTTACACAAGAAACATGGAATACAATGCTCATATTTAACCGAAGTACAAACGAGACAATATTCCAATTTGGATGGCTAACGTGAATGAAACCCACTGAGGTTTACTTCACTAAATAAACATTGAGTGTCTTCAGACAACAGATGTTTTCCAAGCCGTAAAAAAGAACAAAAATACCCCAAATCTCTAGAATTGGTTCTAGTACTGTGTGGTATTTCACTGAAATTGAATCACAATTCAAAGGGGGACTTCCAAAACAGGAGGAGAATGAGTGATGAGGAGATGTCATGCAACCGGTTATACATTTTTTGATCCTGATCTGATAACAACATTTTGGTTCAAGTGCGGAAAAAGAATTTGAGAACTTCATGACAATAATTTAAACATATTCGGTCCACAAAAGTTTGTGAGGTGAAAACAAACAGCTAGATTGTTTTTCAACTGTGACTGTAAAACGGGGTTGATGCAGCGAGCCTAAATATGTAAAGCCAATGTCGGTGGATCTGTGGTGTGCTGGCCTTAAGCGAACTACGGACAAATCGTAACTAGGGTCAGACTACGCTCCTTCCAAAGTCCGTGTTTTAGATTTTATGCATGTCAAATCGTGAGGCAGTAACCCACTCCTGTACACAACCTTCCTGCAATAGTATACAATTACTTCAATACCAATACTAGTCAAGTATCGTCCAAACGCATGAATAGTTGATTTCAATGAAACTACTAAGCTTATGAAATGGAAGATCCACGAACTTTGGGAAATTAAAGACAAACATGAAGTTACTGATAAAATTCCATTTTTTTTCTAACATTTATGGTGTCTTACATTTGGGCCAACAGTTCTCATATGGAGCCCATCAATCTCACTAAAACGTGGATCTTGTTGTCAGGACCTTTAAGCTAGCCTCTAACAACCCCTTACGTGTTAACTCAAAATT